AAAACCTGGAAATAGCTATCTGGTAATTAGACTTCTATGCTGTTATAATGTAACTTCTGCCTGAGAACAATTCATAATTATTATTTCAGTGGATGCACATTTTAAAATTTAGACCAGGGCCTGGTTGATGCTAATTAAATACTTTATAGAATTGTTTTGATTAGTGGACAAGAAAGAAAAATGTTATTTGTAATTCTTTTTAGAGACAGAGTCATGCTCTTGCAGTGGTGCAATTGTAGCTCACTGCAGCCTCCAGCTCCTAGGCACATGTGATCCTCCTGGCTTAGCCTCCCAGGGGGCTAGGACGGCAGGTGTAGTCTGGAAAGCCTAAGTTAGTCATTACCTGGACCTTTGCAGAAAAGTGTGCTGATCTCCTGAGCAGATGTTAATTACAGCAATGCTTTTGAACCACCAACTCAATATAAATTGTGATCATGTTCATTTGCAGCAGCTGGTGGCTCTGAGCTGGTGGCTCAGGGGAGCTGGGAGTGTTAGTAACCAGGAAGGACAGACGGGCCCAGACTGGGAGTTGCACTGGTGGGGGGTTGTGGGCTTGTTCTGGTAAAGGTCCCTTAAAATAAGGTGGCCAGACTTCCTGCTTTTGGTAGGACAGTCCTGATTTTTAACAATTTGTGCCATGTCCCACAGCATTTTAAAAAAGTCTCGATTTTTGGAAAGAATGCATGACAAGCTAGGGAACAGTGGGAGAATGGGAAGGGAATATATGGTTTTTGGCTGCCATGTGGCCATTTCACCAGGATATGAGTTTTATATTATTTTTGTTAATTTTATAATGTTAAACTTTAATAATAACAAATAATTGTTGAGAACTGCTTATCAAAGTTCGCATTGTTGATCAGTTATTAGAATTCGACCACCATTGTTTGGACTTAATGAACAATGGCATTTTTTTGCATTGGCAATGACGAAAACATTTTGTAACTGTCTCTCAGACAATATACATCGTACTGCATGCTAGTGCTAGTTAAACAAATGATGTCAACAAATCAGCTATTCAGATAATTTAGGTAAGTTATTTATTTATTTCATGAATTTAGCAGACAGTACTCATATTATTTATATTTTATAGTGAAGACAAAAAGTCTAGCACCGGCCTTGAAAGTGACACTTACAACTTAACGAGGTATCATTATTAAAAAAAATATATCGATAAGGAAAAGGTTAAATCTTGGGCATCAGCAAAAATCAGAATAGAGAACAAATGGTTAGAAATATTTTATCATTTTGAAACAAACCATGTTCCATACAATAATGCACTAAAAATTGTGGGATATGTGCTGTCCTTACCAGGAACTAAAGCTGCGATTGAAAGTCTTTTTTCTACGGTAAATAAAGTGTGGACATCAGAAAAATCACAATTAAGTGTTGAGACTTTGAAAGCCATTTTATATGTGAAATATAATTTAACAAATTCTTGTGAAAAATTTCATGACCTTTTAAACAACAGCAATCTACTAAAAAAAATTCACTCAAATGAGAAATATGCCAAAGAATAAAATAATACTATACACAATTTTTTAAATGTATTATATTTGTAAATTGTACTTATGCTGAAATTTTAAAAAATATATTATAATACTATTTTTGGGTTCTATGAAAATTTTTGTTGCTCCATATAGACCAAATTTTTAATTAAGAAACACCCACCCCCCCCCATCAATGGTGTCCCGCTTTACCAATGTTAAAATCTGGTCACCTTACCTTAAAAGCACAGCACTGCTTGACCTGTCACTTCCCAGTACTTGCCATAAGGTTTATCTGCATTAATGGCTTTTCTCCCCTTGCCTTTTTGTTACTGTGGTTTTCAGCATGGTTCTATAAACGACACTTTAAAGAACAATGTCATGCTACTCTGGATACAGTGCTTGCTTTCTAACAATTGGGGGCTAATAAATAAAGTGTGTATGCATACTTTAACTGCTATATTCACTTGACTTTTCACTGATTACGTGTCCCAAAATTGGAAAAAAAATCATAGAAAACAATTTAATGTTCTCAAAGCTATTAAAATTCACCCAGTCTATACAGAGGTAGTTTTACCTGAAGAGGTTCAGATGCATTTAGACAGGTAGAAATAATGCTCGGACATGTGATTATGTAGGGGAGAAGGTTAATTACACAAGTATCTATTGATATATAAAACTAATTTATTCTTCAATGTTACTATTTTTTTTTTGAGCACACTTTCTGCCACATATAACTCGGAGTTATTCAGTATTGAATTATTTGTTGAGGAAGAAGAAAGTAATTAAGAAACAGTCATTTATACCTCAATAAAGCTAAAAAAATAGGGTGAGTCAGTTTGAAAAACAGTGCCATATAGACTGGGAAAGAAAAAGATAATGTTTCAAATGACAAACATCTCAGTAATGTGGGCATTATAATTATTATTAATAATTAAAATAATGATGATATAATCATCCTTATTATTTGTACAATGATTTTTGTGCTTGGGAGTTCCAGGTACTAAAACATCTTGTCATTTTTATCTCCACATAGCTCATTAGGTTAGGAGAGACCTGGAATTATGACCCCTGATTTTCACATGGTGAAAATAAGAGCTCTGGATCTGTGGGTACTATGATGAATATGCTGGTTATGGGGCTCAGAAATAGAGTCTCCTACCTGTTTATTCAAAGTGTTTGTGACTGTGCTCACTCTTCTCTTTCGCCCATGCTGCCCCGCTTGTCTTCTAAGCCACAGGAAGAGCATGTCACTAAAACAGATGTGGGAGGTGGGAATCAGGAAAGGGGCCCAGGGCCACTTTGAACATAGCAGTGATGTAAAACTCCACGAAAAAATGTGTATCATCTTCATTTGCTTTTTCTTCTCATAAAATTTCAATCTCTCTCTCATCTAATTCAAAAGCTATGATGTTTATTTAAAAAAATCCACCATGAAACTAAAAAAAGTATAAATTAAAAGTTTGTTTCTTATTTCTTGTTCCACTTCTTCCTGTTAGCAATTTGGAGAGTCCCCTTCTCTATAGAGTCCCCTTCTCTATATACATGGTGTTATTATTTACAAAAACTAGAACATAGATTGCACATTATCTGAAAGTTTTTTCATTAAAATGCATCACTGGTCTTTGTGATCTCACGTGAGATCCACCTCCTCAGTTTAAGGATTGCCCTCTTTACTTTTCTGTCTTGATTAAAAGTTACTGTATCAGTTCCAGTTGATATTTTTAGAAAAAAAGTTATTATAGAAGAAATATATTTTTTCTATATTTCACAATTTTACATAGCAATCATGTACTTCTTATAATATTACCATATTTCCTATAAGCACAAACTCATATTCTTCATCTGTAATGGTTTGCCATTAGTTGAGAAACCATTCCCTCCCTGTTTCCCCAAAGTTCTGCTTACATCTGCCATATATGTCTCCTTTCTTCTGCAGCAGAGAAACAGAAAGCATTGATGGGGGAAGGGGCAGGAATCAGCTTTGGGAGCTTTTTAGCACAGGTGCATATACAAAATAACCTCCTTGTGGATTACACTTTTCATATGGCAAGGATTGCTGTTCTAGGAACAGGTGTTCAGAAACCTACTTGAGGGAAAACTGGAGATAGGGAAAGTTGGGGAGAGGAAAATGATGTTTTCCAGCCTACAGCCTGTGGGGAGTTGCAGAAACAGGGGAGGAGACCAACAGCGTCCTGGGAGTCTCCCCTGTATCCTAAAGCTTCAGCAGGGCAGAGTCACACAGCAGTAATGGCACCATTAACTTCCTCCACTGTGTTCCCTACCTGTGTCCAGACGGAGGCAGGAGGCAGTGATCAGGGGTAGGGACCTGCATGATAATATCATTAGTTCCTGGTCCTGTGTCACCAGGGAACAGAGTCCCTTGGATTTCTGTAAGCCAGAATTAACTATTGTAAAATGCTTTGCAGTTGGCAAGAAGTTTACAAACTCATGGCCTCATTCTGGGTCCTACAGTGCTTCAAACAGAATGAGTGTCCTGCCCCTTATTGATAGATGGAGAAAACTAAACTCAGTTTCACTGATTTGTCCAAGTGGCAGAGATGCTGAGGGAAGGGCTGGACTTAGAATAGAATCCTCTTCACTAAGAGATCCAACTTAGATCCTTAGAGGATCCAGAGATCCTCTTTACTGGGATCTAACACCCAGTTTTCCAGGAAACAGCACATTTGCCCCACCCAAGTCCTCACCCACCAGACAGGTAGAACTTTGGAAGAAAATGTAGCACAAACTATGTGGTCAATGCCTCAAGAAATTTAAAGTAACAGTATCATACTGGAATTCCTTAGTCAGCTCTGACTTACCATTTTATTTTCTCTGGTTTTTGAGTTTTCCTCTCAATTATATAACCCAAGGGAACAAGAGCTTCAACAGTCAAATGAAAACCAGGTTGATGAACATCTTTCGGTAACATGTGTTTCTGGAGGCATAGAAGAGGTTGAGGGAATCTCAGGCAGAAGGATTTCCCGGAGGTCAGAGGTAAATGGCAGCTCAAAACCTCAGGGTCTTTAGAAGAGGGCCTGTCGTTATCTCTTAGGCATATCCTCAAATTTTGATGTGGCAATAAATCAGAAAAGGAATAGAAGGAGGAACTCTATCTGGGGTCTCTTGGAATCACTGTGACGACTTCGCAGGCCGTGTCAGACCCTGGAGTGCTGGGACTGCCCGAGACAGCTCCCACCCTCCGCAGTACCCCGCCGGCCTGGGGCCCTCCACACAGGTGCTGCCCGGAGCAAGCCACTCGGCCCTCACCGTCACCCTGTCATCCTTGTTGTTCTTTTATGGGTGAGGAATCCGAGGCACAGAGCAGTCATGTTTCTTGCATAGGGTCAGCGGAGCCAGGATGGGCTTCAGCAGTCTGGGACCTCGCGTGTTCTAAATGGAGCCAGCACCCTGCCATGGCTGAACGTTCTGTTCTCTATTCTCCAGAAACGACCGTTTTGCCCGAGGGGTGGTTGTGTTGTGTGTCTGATATGATCTGTTTGCTTTCTGCCCCAGGCCATCTATGGGGAGGGCCAGGAGAGCAACTTGTCTGGCGCCCTGGGTCGTCGGCCTCATCGTCTTCCTGTCCCTGATTGTCCTGGCGGTGTGCATCGGACTCACGGTTCACTACGTCAGACACAGTAAGTAGCACCTGCTGGCGCTGAGACTGCCACGTCCTGCTTCCTTCCTGTTTGATTCGCCCCAGGCTCGTCCTCCTCCAGACAACTCATTTGCGTAGCCGCAGCTTCCCTCGCAGTCATCCCCACGAGCTAAGGAGGGATCTCTCTTCTATCTTTGACCGCGCGCTGCTCCCCCTGGGAATAACACCGTGCTTGTTTTCATGGTTATTGATAAGCAGTGATCAAGTGTCAAATAGGAGGAAACCACAGGATAGCTGGAACCTGAAGTCTTGAGTTGTTTGAGGTTACAGTGGAATCACCTTGATTTAAGTAATAGTTAATTGTATGCAACCTCATATTAATCTGAAATTAAAAAAAAAATACCAGCTCATTGAAATTCTGACATTCCAGTAAATCAATTACACAATCCAGGGACATGGAGAGCCAGGCTCTTCTGCTAAGTTGGAACAAGGCTCTTGGTGACATATTATTAAATAAGTGCCTATTTCTGTTATTTAAAATATCATCTTGGGACATATCGTAAGTGATTAAGGAGGGTGCGGTATGCTGCGAAGATCAATTGCACAGAGGTTCACAGTAAGGTTTTCAGGTGCCTCGCTGCCTCTGCCATGGCATTAGAAAGTCCCCAGGGCATCAGAGCTGTTCTTCTAGGGTGCAACAGCCCTTCTGAACCTTCTTTCCACTCTGCCTCCAGCTTTAATTAGTTGACTCAGGTATGACCTGCTACTTTTAATATCTCCCTCTGAGACTAGAGTGTGCTTTGATGTTCAAGGCCCTGTAACCATAGAGACTAATCACTTGATTCTAACTTAATTGGGAACGTGCTGAAGGTGGCTTTACTGTAAAGGGAAAGAGTGACCCATACACTGATTATGTTCCTCTGCCATCCATGAAAGCTCAATCTCAATTTCCAAAGCAAGATGGATCATGGATCATTTCTGGGTAGTTAAAAAAAAATTTAAAGCAAAGATTTTTTTTTTTTTTTTGGTAGAATTGCTCATATACTAGTCTTTAAATTTGGAGTATCTGCATTTCAATAACAGATTTTCTCGAATATGCTTTTAATAAAAATTGCTTTAATAACTTTGTAATTTTATAGTTCTGTACAGGTGCCATATACATGTTTACTGAATATTCAATGAACGAATAATATGACATTTTCTTTGGGCACACTTTGGATTGTCTGATATTCCTAATTGCTAGGGGCCTGATCTTCTCAGTAAAAGAAGAAGTTCCTTACTATTTCTCCTTTGCCATGTTCCAAGCCAAGTTTTATAAGCCACTTACTCATATGTGTACAGTGACTGCCTGGCAGGATTTTTTCTGTAACCTGTTCTTGAATCCTGTTGTGATGATCAGTTGAGTAACATAGAACACATTACTTCCACTGCCCACATAGTGCACCTGAATAAACAGTACCATTGTGAGATGTGTTTCTGTCTGGTACTCGTGACCTGCCCTCTGGGGATGTAAGAAGAAGGTGAGCATTCAGCAGTCATCATGCCAAAACACCCAAATAAATCTGCCACAGAAATAGGGTTAGGTGAAGGTAATTGGATTTGGCTAAAGCAGCCCTTTGGCTCTCATTTCATAAAGTCCCAAATGGCATAGAATTCTACGCATAGTTTTTGTCTAGGCCTCTGGGGCTGCATGTCTGCTCTCCATGATCTGTGATTTGGATGTTGAAAGGTGAGTCTGTTCTGACCAATAATAGCAGGTTATAGAATCACAGACTTACAATTATCAACAAACTTACACCCATACTTATTTTATATTATTTTATTTTATACTTATTTTACTTTTCTTTAAATACCACCAATGATATTTTTCAACAACTATATGTGCCATGTATTTCTGGCAGCTGGCAATATGTTCTAACACTTAGTGGCCTGTTTAAGTCTATAGAGCACACCAAACATTGAGTATAAATCAAAAGTTGTTAATTGAATTACATGAAATTGCCAATATTTGATCATTTTTGACCTATACTAATGTGAATTTTAAATGATTCGACCTAATAATTAAAAAAGTCAGGTTGAAGGGAATGGAAGCAGCTGTTATCCTGCTCCCTAGAATTTCCCCAGTTACCCCTGCAGACATCAACTGCATCAGTATCACCTGGTAATCTGCTAGAAATGAGAGTCTTGGGTCCAAATTCAGACCTAACATACCGGAATCTGCATTTTAAGGCTCCCAGGTGGTTCATTTGCACACTGAGGATTGAGAAACAGTGGTAACAATGGATGCAACTGCACCGAAAGCCACAGTTAACCATGAGGCAGATGTTAAAGTGCAAATGTGACAGAACGGTGGTTTGCAAAGATAGGAGTTATTTTCTGATGTTTCAATACATTAAAAACCTTACCTGAAATTGTGTATATTGTCAGGGACTTGCCTGCATTTTATGTCACTCTGACCATTCGGGCAGAGGGGGGTGGAAAAGGTGGAAGAAGGGCAAAACCTCTCTAGTTCCCCACCCGTCCCCAGTGTTGCCATCCTCCCCTTCCCCACCCGTCCCCAGTGTTGCCATCCTCCCCTTCCCCACCCGTCCCCAGTGTTGCCATCCTCCCCTTCATACATCACCAGCCCCTCCCTGGGCCTGTCAGAGTTTGACATCATTTCCTTTTTTCCCACCAAATTCTCTGGATGTCCAGGGTGGCCTTTTGAAATTTACCAGCAATTTTTTGCATAACTTTTATGTAACAAAAGACTTCTACAGCTTCAGTAAGTGACTTTAGGTTTGGGTTTTTTTTTTTTTAAAGAATAATTAAATTTTTCCATTTACTTGGCATTTCCCCCAGAAACCTCTTGGCTGTTCAGTAAAAAATCAGATGTCATTTAATTTCAGCATATTATAAAATTCTAAACCCAGGAACCTATACATTTTCAATATTTATTTCAGCCAGAACAAGAAATTGTTACTTAACTTGCTTCATAGAGTTAATTGGCGGTTTTTACTTTAGAGACAGTGTCATGACAGAAGTACTTGTGTGTTTATAAGTCAACTATCAATGTATGAGTATTAATGCATTTACACAAATGAATGCCCGGATTTAAAAGCCTTTATAGTTCAATTAGTATTTCCTTCAGAGTCTCCTCAACTTTATTTCCTTTCTTTTTTTAAAATTTATTTTTGGTCTTTTCTCCCCATCCCATTAGGAGGTGTGTAAAAAAGTTTGCTCTTCAGCAGTTAGAAGTGGCTGGAAGCTCAACTCTTTTCTGGCCGTGCCATGTTGGGGTTGGCCGTGTCTCCTACATTTCCGAGACTGTGGACTGCAGTCTCTTAATTTGAGACTGTGTCTGTTAAACGTGCACAACGCCGCCTTCCCACAGGGTCCCTGAGCAGCCAGAGGTATGGGACCAGGTTTGGTTGTTAGTTTCCTTTCCTGTGGAGTGTAGGTGAAGAGGCAAAAAATGAGAAGGAGGAAATACGAGAGAGATCAGGCCTGAATGAGCTGCGCCCCGCGTCTCGTTCCCCTGCTGCGGACGCGGGCACAGCGCCTGGCGGAGAAGCGGCTGCGGAGAAACCTGGGCGCGTCTTCCCGGGGCTCCGTGCTGCTTCAGGCGCTGGGAACCGGACGCGGGGGCAAGGCCGTGACCCCGCAGCAGGCCAGAGGAGACACCCAACCTCTGCGGCTGCTGGGAGGGGAGACCAGCAGTGACAAGCAAGCCGGTGGTGTCCGGAGGTTACGCCTGGCGGCAGCTCCGTCCCCCTAAACTTCTTACCGAATCTCTGGCATTTTAATTTCCACCTTCATCTCCCTCATTAGCCAGAATCAATTATCTCCCTGCGGCCAGAACTGACGTGTAGTTGACTTAGGAGGGAAAGCTACTTTTGGATATAAAGCGCAGTCACCTCGGGGATCCGGGCGCCAAGACGCGCTCCCCGCCTCCTGTGGCGTCTTCGGGAATGGCAGGTGCAGGAGTACAGGCCCGACAACCCCTCAGAGTTTGTGCGGAGCTCCAGCTCTGTGCTTCTTATATGTTTCGTCCCCTAAACTCTACACTGATGAGCGCTGCTGTCCTTTATCCTAAGGCACTTGCGACGATGAGCAGGCTGGTGAGGACTGTGATGTCGGCTGCAAGTGCCCCCTCCTGTATTACTCTTTCTAGTAACCACCAAATGGGGGAAATAATGATGGCTTACACATCTGATAAAAATTACGATGCGATTTTGCCCCTTTCCTTCTAGATCAAAGGAAGACCTACAATTACTACAGCACATTGTCATTCACAAGCGACAAACTCTATGCTGACTTTGGAAGAGAGGCTTCTAAAAATTTTACAGAGATGAGCCAGCGACTTGAGTCAATGGTAAGCAGCTTTTCCTCCACTCCATGGCTTGCTGTCCTTTTTAAAAAAACCATATTTTTTAGTGTCCCAGCACGTAACACATCCATTCAACTTATCCTTGTGTGTCTTTGCACAATGGAAAGAGGCCCCAACTAAGGGATGTTTCATAAAACTGATGAGCTTGTGACTTGGATGCCAGCCCTCGCTTGTCTGTGTCCCGGTTCACTCTGCTTGGCGAGATTCCTTTTATAGCAGATGTCCAGAAAAGGCAAATATATGTAGAGAGAGTCCACCATGGTCACTTGGGAGGAACAGGGGAGTGGGAGAGATTATGGTAAATGGACATGAGGGATCCTTTTGGGGTGAGGAAAAGGCGCCACACTGTGGTGATGATTATATGACTTGGTTAATTTAACAAAAATATTTGTATCACAAATGTATTTATGTATTTGAAATAGATAAACTATATGGTATGTAAAACATACGTCCCTAAAGGTTTTTTAAAGCATTGTGAGCATTGTGAAAAACATAAAAATATTTTAAAGTTCTTAAAATACTTTGCATTTTAGTTCTTGTTTGTTTTTCTTGTTATTTTAGCCTGTTGTAGTTTTAAATATGGTGCAGTATTATTTTAATACCTTGTGAGTCGTACCAAAAAATACTTTGAAAATTCTCTTGGAAGTTATATGTGTTCCTATCATAATAAATAATCATTAAATAACTATTATCTGTTATTATTACTAAAAATAATAGTGCAACCCTTGTGATCAGCAGAATCCAGAAATACTAGAAATATGAAGGTGGCCACAATGTAGTTGTCATGTCCTAGACTTTCTAAAAAGCAGACCCTGAGCAAAAGATCGTCCAGATTGAAATTATTCTGACATATACCTGAATAGCCTTTAGTTTTTAAAAATATCTAATCTTCAACCAGTTTTGGTATAAAAGTCTATAGGAAATCCATGGATACTCACCTCTATCCCTAAGGGATGGACATTTATCCTAACTGGAGAAATTAGCAGGATAGGCCAAGAAAGCCAGGGCCTGAGTGACGACTTGTTGTCACTGCTGATTACGCAAAGAATAATTTAACTTTTCTGATAGTATGTGAAGGAATTAGCAGTGCAACGTGCTGGAAGTAAGGCTGAGCCAGCAGTTGGGAAGCCCCCTGGTGCTGGCCCTACTCACTAGACAGTGCTGTGTCATTTGGCCATCATTTTATCATTCTGGACAAATTTTCTTATATGAAAATTAAGGAGTTAGGCTAGATAATTTCCAAACTGTCTTCCCCTCCCAATATTCTGGTAAGAACCCCCAACTCTCATCCCTCTGCCCCAGAAATTGGTTAGTACACTGGAAGCCTGGGATTTGGCCATCTGGCTTGGCAGAGATTGAATTCTGGCTACATGCTTACATGCAAACACCTGATCAGAAAAGTATATGAAGAAGCCCTTCTAGAAGGAAAATAATATGCAAAATAAAGGAAAGGAAATAGAACCACAAAGGTCAAATGAATAGGGACTTGTTCTTTGTACCATTCCCCAAACAGTTTTTTTTTTTTTTTGAGACAGCATCTTGCTTGCTGGCCAGGCTAAAGTACAGTGGCATGATCACAGCTCATGGCAGCCTGGGTTTAAGCAACCCTCCTGCCTTAGTCTTCTGAATAGCTGGGATAATAGGCATGAGCCATTGTGTATAGTTTCATTCCCTCAAATAAATTGTATTTATTTAAGTAAGTAAAATATAGATGAGTTTAAATCTAAAGGAATATAGATAGGACTTTTTAATACCTTAAAAATTAATAGTTTTAAAATTACTTGATAAAAATAAATCCTTAAATAAAAATTATCCAGTGAGTATTGTCATCCTACTTAGGGGACTTACTTGAACTGTGCTGATTTGTCTCATAATTGAGGGCATCATTGTTGGATTTAAAACTCATGAGTCAGTGAGATATAAGGAAGAATATCACTCATTGCTTCTGCTAATCAGCTTGCAGTAACTGGTGAAAATCCACATACTGAGAACAAGAGACCCTTGAAGTGTTTCCTTAAACTCTTAAAACATTAAGCTGGCAAGAACTCTTATTTCATTACAGTAAGAAATAACTTTACCAAATGCCTTCTTTCATTTTATCAGAATGAAACTTAGGGCTATATTAGACTTTGTCTTTAAGCCACAAGATGCTGCCAGGCGCTCATTTCTCTGCTCAAACTATCAGGGGCAGGAGTATTTTATTTTTTCTGTGTGTAGTGAAAGCCCTTACCCAGGGAACCAACGCTCACCCTTACTTTCCAAGACAGCAGGTTCATTCCCTTCAGCCTCTTTTTGTGCCTGGTACAGGAGGCGTTTTTCTGGCCCCACTGTAGTTCCTAGGGTCACCCCTCGGGCAGAAATCAGCTGAACATACCAGAGAAGATTCCACAGGCTTCCTCATGTTCAGCACATTGGGAAATGTTGGTCAATGTTTTTTGTTTTGTTTTGTTTTTTATTTTTCCATAGAGCTTTGAATAAGTTTGCAGAGAGTTGTTCTTGCTGACATATTTTCATTATTTTTCAAACAGGTGAGAAATGCATTTTATAAATCTTCACTAAAGGGAGAATTTGTCAAATCTCATGTTATCAAGTTCAGGTATGTAAATGTAAAATTCTGACCTCTGAATTTTTTTTTTTTTTTTGAGACAGAGCCTCAAGCTGTCCCCCTGGGTAGAGTGCTGTGGCATTATAGCTCACAGCAACCTCCAACTCCTGGGCTCAAGCGAGTCTCCTGCCTCTGCCTCCCAAGTAGCTGGGACTACAGGCACCCGCCACAGTGCCCGGCTATTTTTTTTTTGGTTGCAGCCGTCATTGTTGTTTGGCGGGTCCGGGCTGGGGATTCGAACCCGCCACCTTAGGTGTACGTGGCTGGCGCCCCAGCCGGTTGAGCCACAGGCGCTGAGCCCTGACCTCTGAATTTAATTTAAAGCTGATACTGTTAACCTAGAAAGTCATAAACACATTTTAAAGTGCTAATGATATGATGTTATTCAATTCAATAAGCATTTATTTGGATCACGTTCTGTGTAAGCCACAGCTCACAGAGTCCCTTACTCATTCTTTACATCTAAAGTAAGCATTTGCAAGGTGATTGCTAGGGAGAAAAGTATAATTGGTGCTGATGCTATACAATTGCTTTTGGGAAACTCTAACTAGTACAAGTGGGGACCTAATGCACCTGGGGTTTATCATGAGCAGTGCCCTGTGTAAGGCGGTGTGATGACGAGGTTTGTCTTCAGTGCCTGGTCTTCTTCCTCCTCAATTTTCCTTACTTTTCTTCTATCTCACCTCTTTATTCTCCAAATATTTAACTTAGAAGATCTTGTCTGTTAATTGATCACCAATAAAAAGGTTCAGAATGTAACAATTTTATGCAAAATAACTATTTTAAATGTTATATTTTCTTAATACAAATTATTTGTATTTTTCAACAAGATAATAACTGTAACCAATATGATTCTGAAGACAAGACTAGAAGTTACTTTCCCAGTCGATTATTTAGCTGACATCTCTGAGGCATTACTTTGGCCATTTTCTCCTGAAAATTCTGTATTCTCTGATGTTTGACAGTTTCCTTTCTCGGTTCTACACCGACTTCTTTGATTCTTGAATTTTCACTCTCTCAAGGGGATTGATTCCTCCACACACGCAAACCTGTATGTTCTTGAAACCAAGGTTTCTATCTCCATTCTGAACTTTTCCCCCAATTTCTTTAATTATTTTCCTGCCCACACACATCTCCACATAGAAGCTCCACGGAAAATTCCTTAGCTCAAGGAGAGTTCAGCGGAGTTAATGGGAAATGTGGACGGCATCACAAACTCCTCCCTGTCTAGGTCCCTCACACTTCATGAATAACAAAATCCTGCCAATTACATTTTCTAAATCGCTTTCCAATTTCCTCACCTCTTCATCCCAGCAATCTTGCTGTTGCTACTCACTATTCTTTGTTCCATCACAATCAGTAAAAAAGGCAAGTTTATTGGAGGGGCAAAGTCTGTGTTAGAGATTCTGAGCTAAGACACTGGGGACTGTAGGGGCCTGAAAAACAAAGGTGACTTGGTGGAAGGAGGGAGCTGAGTGCAAGACATGAATTTGTTCATCATCCAATAGACATTTTAGAAAGCATGGCTGTAAATTTCTCAGCAAAAGGGTAATGCAAGTTAAAAAAAAAAAGAGGATGTAGAAAGTTTGGAAGAACAAGAATATTTAAGAGGATGGAAGAAAAACAGGAACCTTAGAAATAGGAAAAAAGAAAAATCATGAGTGAGGCATGCTTATGCTAAGATAAGAAGTTTCAAGGAGGGAATGGTCAGCGTTGGTTGATACTCCTGACCAAGTAAAACAAATACTGAAAAGAGACCCCTGGATATGTCAGCCAGAGACTGTTAGTGTTGAGCAGAGAACCGGTTGTGGGGATGAAGGAAGTCAGGGTGAGGCCGAGTGTGACTCATCATTTGAAGATTTTCTGTGAAGAGAAGGTGAGAGAGCAGTGGACTGTTGAGGGAGACAGAGGTTTATCGCTTTTTATAGCACTAGTTTAAGCGAAAGAAGGATAAATAATTCATGGTACTTTTTTTTTGAGGCAATGAAAGGGTTTGAAATACATAATAATAATGTCTTTAAAGACCTATCTTTTCCAAATTACAAAAACAACACAAAATCATACAAAGTTCAAATAACACAGTATTATATAAAATAGAACAAGAAAGCCTCCTGTCCAACAATTCCTCCCCCACAAACAACACATCTTCTTCATTTATTCTGAGCATTTTCCAGTGACTGCATGTAGATCTATTTTGTTCTTTGGCTGGCTGTGTAGTATCTCACTACAAGTTTGTAGTGGACAGGAAGGTGGGGGGAATGGGAGTGAGGGATGGAGGGGACAGAGAGAGGGAGAGAGGGAGGGGACAGAGGGAGATGAAATGAGGGAGGGGACAAGTATATGCTGGTGTGATAGACACAGTAGGTTCACCCCGTTAATGCACACTCAAGTTGTTACTTATTTTCCTCTTATAAAAACAAGGTTATAGTGACATTTATGTGCTTTGCACACCTGAGACTGCATTTGACGATGTAATTTCTAGAAGTGAAAATGCTGTGTCAGAGAGGATGGATATTCAAGTGCATAACCAATACACAAAACTGCCCTCTAAAACTAAGATGCTCGTGTACAGTTTGTGAGAGAGGGCTGATGCAATGCAATGAGGGCAAGCTTCGTTGGAACTGACTATGGAAAGGAGGGGGTAAAAGCAGGCAGGTAGTAACTCATACAAATAACACTGAGGCTGATAAATACTCTGTCGTGAAAATACAGTTATGTGAAGTCAGGACAATGTGGTCAAGCTTTCTTCGGATCAGGGGTTGTATAGGGGAGCCTGAAGATTGCTTAGGACAAATCAGTGGACCCGAGTCACAAGAATGAAACCTGAAAGCCAAAAGCACAGGGATGTCATGTCTACGACATCTGATGTTGGGTAATTTTGGATGGTTGACAAGATAAGAGTCTTTATGTTAACAGCCATATACTTAATGAGGACCTTTGGTGGTAAAGGAGACCATGTGGACACACCAGCTTACTGTCAGGGAGGCTGAGTTTGGGGTTCTGTACATAGTGAACAATAGGAATATAGAAAGAAACATTTAGAGATTTATTTTTGTGTGTGTGTTTCCAATAAATGATAAAGAAAAAAACTGACTGATTTTATCATAAATCCTTCAATCCTCCCTTCCTTCCCCCCTCCCTCCCTCACTCCCTTCCTTTACTTCCTTTCTTTCCCTCCCTCCCTCCCCCTCTCTCTGTCCCCTCCATCCCTCACTCCCACCCACCCCCCCCCACCTTCCTGTCCACAGTCAAGAGCAACAAGGGGTTCTGGCTCATATGCTGCTGATCTGTAGATTCCGTGCTACTGAGGATCCTGAAACTGTAAATTATATTATTCAACGTGTTCTACATGAAAAACTGCGAGATGCTGTGGGACCCCCTAAAGTAGATCCAGAATCAGTTGAAATTAAAAGTAAGTTGATTTCCTTTATTTATTTTACTCTGCCTACATAGAACAGCTTATTTTTAATTTTTTTATATGCTTCAATTCTGAGGTCTTGCCCAATAGGATAGTTTTTTAGAACTAAGTTGGTACTGAAAAAGTATTTTAATTTTTAAAACTACCCTAAACTGTTCCTCCCATGCAAGCTTTTCATGTACTCTGGGACAGGCCCTTCCATACTGGCATGTCCTCTGGCTGTAGGGTCCAGTTGTTAAGGGAGCACATGGCTTTGCGTCTTCCTCTTCTTTTCCTTGTTGCTTTCACTTCCCCTTCTGAGAGTGTGATGTAGGAAAAGGTTCACAGCATCCGCACATTTGCTTTATGCCTTGTTCCCTTATGCCATTTACTAGTGAAACATTTGTATTTACTTATGCTTACTTCTGGTATGTTTTAAAGTATAAGTGAAAATTTTGAGGTGATTATTTTTTCTGGATCAGCTTTTATTTATTTTTTAAAATTTTATTAAGTAAAATACACATAGATCATGAATACATTCATGCATATGTGGGGTACAATGTGCTGATTTTTTTTTTCATACTATCTGACGTGGTTACATCAAACCAATCATCATAGCTTTCATTGAGGTGATATTTTTGTTGTTTCTGGGACCACAAAGGACAAAATAAGTAGTGACAGGTTCTCATTATTAGAAAGTAAGAAACATGAGGTCCTCAGTGAAAATCAAGGTCTAGTTAGGGGCCAAGTCCTATATTATAGAACAGTGCAGGGCTGTAAGCAGGCTGTGTGGGCTCAAGGATGATCTTACATTTTCTAGTAGTCCCATTACAAAAATAAAAATAAACGTGAAATTAATTGCAATAATTTGTATATTTAACCCAACATGTCCACAGTAGTATTGTTTCATCATGTAAAGATCATTCATGAGACATTATACCTTGTTTTTCTGAATAAAGCTCTGAATTCTAGGGCACATTTCATGCTGATCTTACATTCTAGTTTAGACCAGGCCATTGTCAAGAGGTCACTGGCCACATGTGGCTGGTGGGCATGGTACCCTAGGAATTAGAGAACAGGGGACAAGTGGCCACAGTGAATATGAAGGGCAAGTACAGCTTGATGCCCGTGGCTCAGTGAGTAGGGCGCTGGCCACCTACACCGAGGCTGGCAGGCTTGAACCTGGCCCTGGCCTACTAGACAACAATGACAACTGCAACCAAAAATTAGCCAGGTGTTGTCATGGGCACCTGTAGTCCCAGCTACTCAGGAGACTGAGGCAAGAGAATTGCTTGAGCCCACGAATTTGAGGTTGCTGTGAACTGTGACAGTAAAGTACTCTACTGAGGGTGACACAGTAAGACTGTCTCCAAAAACAAAAAACAAACAAACAAAAAAAAATGAAGGGCAAATACGAAGCCAGGCAGATGCTGCTTACAGGCCAGACAGGCCGCGCTCTCACTGGGCATCTGTGGGCCGTGCTCTCACTGGGTGGTGTGGGCCGTGTGGGCTGCCTCTCATTGGGCTGCTCTCTCACTGGGCCGCACTCTCATTGGGCCGCACTCTCACTGGGCCGTGTGGGCCGCCTCTCATTGGGCTACACTCTCACTAGGCCTCGCTCTCACTGGGCCACACTCTCATTGGGCCGCACTCTCACTGGGTCATGTGTGCTGCACTCTCACTAGGCGGGGCTCTTACTGGGCCTACTTCACAGCTCAGGCACACTGCTAGTTTCTGAGGAACTGATGGAACCAGTATAAGGTGGGCTTGGCTCTGTTTGTTTCCCTTCTTGACAAGGACACGTCCTACCCATGCTCTGCCTTTAGCTCACTGAGAAGAGATCAAGGACAGAAACAAAAAGGAGCTCTCTATTTCTCTCTTTTTATTTTTACTTTTTTGAGATGGAGTCTCATTCTGTCACATTGGGTAGAGTATCATGATGTCAGCACAGCAACCTCAAACTCTTGGTCTCAAGCCATCCTCTTGCTTTAGCCTCCTGAGTAGCTGGAATAATAGGCGTCCACCACCATCCCTGGCTAATTTTTCTATTTTTAATATACATGAGGTCTCACTCTTGCTCAGGCTGGTCTTGAACTCCTGAACTCAAGGGAACCTCCTGTTTCAGCCCCCTAGAGTGCTGGGATTAGAGGCATGAGCCATTGAGCCTAGCCTCTCTTTCTTTCTATGTTATTATTTTCAACAAAAGCTATTGGCTAATAGGAAGCAACAGGAGAAAGAAAGGATATAACAGGGTCCTTGTTCATCTGTTTGGGAGGATGCTATTGCCTTCCTTCTGGATTCTAAGCAATTTCTAGTTGAAGCAGAAAACTGGCAGAGCCCCTGCCTACTTAGAGGAAGGCATAACACACACTTACACTTGCTGTGAGTCTTACTGAACTCTCATGCATTGTGAATCCACCAAAATTCAGACTTCATTTTTTTTTGGAAGGCCACCATGAATGATATTAGTACACGCAGATGAGGTGGCAAGGAGCCGTATGTGTTTCCTATGCTCAGCACCTGCTCTATTATTGGGCTTTGCTTTCTCAAGACAAGTCATAAGATAAAATTATTAAGAACTTCATGTCACCCTTGCCCAGGGACCATGTTAATCTCATCTATATCATTCCAACTTTAGAATATATGCTGCTGAAACAAGCACAAAAATTATTAAGAATATCCAGTCAGCATTTCACCAAGCACGAGGCCATTATGAGTCCAGGCCAGGTGTGGTGTGTGAGGCAGGCTTCTGTGAAGCCTGCATGTTGGTTGTGTCTGCACGCAAAGCCAGAATGTCCCTAGCAAGAGCCTGAGATAGAGAAGAACAGATTGTCAGAAAGAGAGAGGACAAAGGTGGTTCTCTGAGTGTTAACTGGGAACAAAAGATCAATTCTTTCTTATTTTTCCCATTTTCCCCACAAATAGCCAGAATTCATGAAGTCTGCACACAAGTCAGAAAGAATACTTCCTAGAATTTGGATTTCCAGTAAATACATATTACTAAATACTGAAAGAAGAAATTAACAGATCAATATTTTTGCATGAGGGACATGTATCCTGTTAAGTTCAAAGGGAACAACTTTGATCACTGGAAATTTACTTAGTTGCAAAGTTTGAGCTTAGAGTTTGATCTAATGATTGAGTTAGAGCTTGTTATTGGCTGGAGCTGAATGACAATTTGAGGACAGACTGTCTTTCTAATACTTAGCAGAAAGAAGCCTTAAAAAGGTACAACATTGCTTTTAGATATAAGTGAGGACTGATTTATGGACATACTACCCACATGTGCCATAAAGATCAGGCTACATTTATGAATTTAGTGAAATAATCTGAAGTAATGGTCAGTAAAGGTATCATAACAACTGGGTAATTACTGCTATGGTTTAGATCAGTGTTTCCTAGAGAGAGGCTGTGAACTACCTGCACCTTATTTCTTGGCATAAAATTCAGATTCTTGGGCTTCAATACAAAGCTACTTAATTAGACTTAATGGGACAGGGAACAGGAGTTTACAATATAAATATTATAAATATGAACTCTTACCCTTAAGGACATTGAAAGAATCTTACTTTCTCCCCTCCTTCCCATGGCAGAAAGCATATATTATGACAAACTAACCATGCTTTTTTCTTTATAACCTGGAGATACTGTCTTATGATGGAGTCAAGCAGCTTTTTAGTGTTTGAAGCACTCAGAGGCATAGTGTGATTCTGACATCCTGACCTGTTCTGCTCACCCTATCTGTGTATTTCAGAAATCAACAAGACAGAAACTGACAGCTACCTGAACAATTGTAAGTTTTATATTTATCAAAGTGGCATTACCTGAATGTGCCTATGGCACATGTGTTGTAGAAGACAATTGTGCAACTGTTAAAAAAGGGGAAAAATTGTCTACTTACCAGTGTTTTGTTAGCAGATCACTATGATGTACTCTCAGAGAGATTTTCTAAAGATTAAATAAAAGTAATCTATATGTTGATTTTTTTCAGCTAGAGGCAGAAACTTGTCACTTTATCCTAAATAAAACCTTCTTGTTATAAATCCCATGCCATAGATATTGTGGGCAATTATGAGGTTGGGATATATTTTGAAGAAATTACTGGGCTTTGCTATCTAGATGATATCTTTATGTGTAATTTTAAAAGTGCTGAAGTCCTGGGACTTTTCTTCCCCTATGGCAGAGTACCCCCACCATGATTTAGAGCAGTGGTTCTCAGCATTCCTAATATAGTTCCCTTAATACAGTTCCTCATGTTGTGGTGACCCTCAGCCATAAAATTATTTTTGTTGCTACTTCATAGCTGTAATTTTGCTACTGTTATGACTCGTAATGTAAATATCTGATATGCAGGATGTATTTAGGCGACCCCTGGGACAGGGTTGTTTGACCCCCAAAGGGGTCACGACCCACAGGCTGAGAATTAGAGAATGCTAATTTAGAGAATTAATTGCTGACTTAGAGAATAAATTTATTTTTTATTTTTATTTATTCATTTTTTTGAGACAGAATCTCACTACGTAACACTGTCACCCTTGGTAGAGTGCCATGGCATCACAGCTCATAGCAACATCGAATTCTTGGACTTGGAGCCCGCCATGATGCCCAGCTATTTTTTGTTGTTGTTGTTGTTGTTATTGCAGTTGTTTAGCTGGACAGGACCAGGCTCTAACCCACCACCCTTAGTGTATGTGGCTGGCACCGAGCCTAGAGAATAAATTTAATAGTATAGAATTATTACATATTTATCTTAACAGATGGAAAAAATGTGCTACTCTAGCTCAGAATTGTCAGTTAATTTATAAACTCAACTAAACAGAAAACTAAAAGATAATCCTATGATATAAATAGCATATATTCTTGCCACCAATATTTACTGGGAACTTGCTAAGTGCTAGCACTCTGTTAGACGTAAGTCTACAAAATGCATAAGATATGATCCCTGCTTAAAGCAGCTGATACACTAATGGGACTAGATGTATCAGACTAATGCGTGAACTTGTAATTTAAAAACAACAGCTCTCAACAAAAGGTGGTTTTGATACCCTAGATATCAGGCTTTGCATGCAGTTTTTGTCATTAATGTAGGACCCCTGTACCGGCCAGCGTCCTTTGAGGCCCCGGGCAGCCCCTTCTCTGTGAAGTGTTACATGTCATTTGAGGAGCAAGTACTAAAAGAATATGTTGTTAGTATGGCCGTCGGTGAAGTGTGCAAACATCCGGAAAGTTGTAACTAATCCAACCCGGAGTCAGGGGAATTGTTAGAGAAGACGCCTGGAAGAGGAAATTGAGTCCTACAGGCTGAATAGGAGCTAAGTGAAACGTTACCGTTTTGGAAAAGAAAGAACAAGAGAAAATGTTTGATACTAACAGAGCACAAAGTTTAAGATACATGGGGACTAGCAGACCAATCGGAAGTTTACAGGAACTGCTGGCTGACGCCCCCCTGTTCGGCAGGCTGTGGGACTCGGAGGAGCAGCCCCACAGGGCAGAGCGTGCGCATCGTGGGCGGGACGCCGGTGCAGGAGGGCGAGTGGCCGTGGCAGGCCAGCCTGCAGTGGGACGGGATGCACCGCTGCGGCGCTGCGCTCATCAACGCCTCGTGGCTGGTGAGCGCGGCTCACTGCTTCTCCATGTGAGTCTCGGGCCTGGAGGATGATTGCGGGGTAAAGTGTACTAGGTGTTGGCAGGAGGGATACACATTTTGTGCGTTCTGACAGACCTGAGCTTAGCATGCATTAAAGATAATGTAACCATCTGAGAAGTCAGCGGACACCCCGGGGGGCTCAACATCGTGGGTGCGGGTGAGCAGCGCTCCTGCCTGGAGGCCTGCGGAGTTTCCTCTTTTACAGCAACTTTGGTCCCGTTAATTACAATGTGTCTGCTGCAGCTCTGTTTGCATTGAGTCTACCGGGTTGGAGGGTTGGATATCCATCAAGTAGGCGAACGAACGTCTGAATCCCTAGCGACATTAAAGAAACTTTCAGCTGTAACATCCTTGACGAAGGCTTCCCCGCTCTTGGGACTGTCTTCTGCCTTTTCGGGTACCTGTAATTCGTGTGTTTGTACCCTCCCCATCGTCCTGAAAGTGTCTCAGAGTTGCTCTCCTTTTACCCTCTGCTTTTCTGCATTTTTAGCTGTCTGGGTTAGCCAGAGAGCCTCGTCTTCAAGTCTGGGATTCTTTCTCCTCCGTGGTTTAAAGTGTTTCTGAAACTTTCTACTGCATTTTTGAAACCCCCTGAATGACTCTTTCAATTTTTTTGTCTAGACCTGTGGAGACTTTGTCTTGTCTTACGAAACAGTGGCTTTTCCACCTGACCTGACCACTGAGCTTGATTCTCAGCTTGGAAAGAGTTTTTTCCTATACATAGAAACTGTAACTTTGAAAAGAAAAAAAATTCTCTGGACCTGTAGACTGAATTATCAATATTTGGTATACTAAATCACTTGATTATATCATCAGCAGACTGGAAGCCAATCTTCACTTTTTCTCCCCAGGTATAAGGACCATACCAGATGGACTGTTTCCTTTGGAGTAACTCTAAGACCTGCAAAAATGATACGAGGCCTCCGGAGGATAATTGTCCATGAAAACTACAAATACATGTCACACGACTATGATATTTCACTAGCAGAGCTCTCTAGCCCTGTCCCCTACACAAACATAGCCCACAGAGTCTGTCTCCCTGACGCCTCCTATGAGTTTCGTCCAGGTGCTGAGATGTTTGTGACAGGATTTGGAGCAGTGCACAATGATGGTGAGCATCTGAAAGAAACTCAAATCAAATCTACTTTGATGTTCTGTGGTGGTTAAAGAATTCATTTCACTACATTGAAATGCATTGGTTGTTTAGTCATATGGACCCAGGCCAAGTTAGGTTCCACCAGCATTAAAACAGACATGACTTCTCCCTCCCCCGTCACTATCCAGGGTGTCCTAATTGCTGCGGTGATGATCCTGGTTAAGGTCTCAGAAAGAGCAAACACTGCCCAGATCTCCTGGCTGCTGAACTTTTTACTAGGGAATTAGCCACTTAAGAGATTAGGGATCTTTAATTTATCTATTCAGGAGATCAGAGAATCATGAAGCCATCATTCATTATCCCCTACCAAAATTTCCTTCTAATCTCAAGAATAAAGTGGAAATTAGTTAGCTAACTTGAGGTTCTTTCCAAAGCATGTAACTTTTCATTTAAAGTACTTAGGAAAGTTACTGTTTCTAAAACATACATATTCTAAGATTTTATACTTCTGTCTTATCCAATAATTATGAAAGAATTTCTTCAGGTTTGCAAAATATATGTATATCTACAAAAACAAAGATGTTTTTCCCCTTAGGCGTCACGCAAAATCACCTTCGGCAAGCGGAGGTGACTCTCATAGACAACAGAATCTGCAATGAACCTCAGTCCTACAACGGTGCTGTAACTCCTAGAATGTTATGTGCCGGTTTCTTAAAAGGAAAAAGAGATGCTTGCCAGGTAAATGGCTTTGCCTATTAGTATGCTGCTTAATCTTTTGTTCGCTATTTGGGAATAATTGTAGATTTATAGGAAATTGCAGAAACAGATTAGTCACAGGTGCCCTTCCCCTGTTTCCCCATGGTTACTTCTCACATTACGTGGGACACAATCAAGGAATCGACGGTGAAAGTGTGTATCTAATGATACAGGATTGTTATGTGCGTAGATTTGTGTGACCATCACTGTAGGTAAGGTTGGGGACTGTCTTATTACGACAAAGACCTAGACCTACCGCAAGAGTGACACTTTTCACACCTCACCATTCTTAACATGTGCAATCACTAATTTGTTCTACAGTTCTGTAATTTTGTGCTTTCCTGAAAGTCATATAAATAGAACCACATGGTAATGTTTTCATAGAATTTAATTTTGACTTATCTATGAGCATTTGACTATCTCTTTGTCTGAGTTACGTGTGTGTAGGCCATTCTAACAGGGGTACGAGGACATCTTATTGGTGTTTTGATTTGCAGTTCCTTATTGATAATGATGCAAAGCATTTTTTCATATACTTATTGGCCATTTATATGTTTTCTTTTGAGAAATATCTATTCATTCCTTTGCCCACTTTTTAGTGAAATTAATATTATTTTTAGTTGAGTTGTTTGAATTCCTTGCATATTCTGGATATTAGTCCCTTATCAGAGGAATAGTTTGCAAATATTTTCTCCCCTTCAGCAGGTTGTCTTTTTTCATCTATTGTTTTCTTTGCTTTGCAAAAGCTTTTTAATTCAATACAATTCTATTTATCTACTTTTTCTTTTGTTACCTTTTGAGGTTTTAGTTATAAAATCTTTACCTAGACAATGTACTAAAGTTTTTATCTGAATTTTCCTCTAATAGTTTGGGGGCTGATGTTTAAATCCTTCATCCATCTTGAGCTGTCTTTTGTATAAGGTGAAATATAGTGGTCCCATTTCATTATTCTGCATATGAATGTCAAATATTTCCAGCACCATTTATTGAAGAGTGTGTCATTTTCCAATGTGTGTTCTTGGCAAATCAATTGTGAGTGTGTGGATTTATTTCTGGGTTCCCTGTTCTGCTCTGTTGGCCTGTGCATTTGTCTAACAATGTCATGCTTTTGGGTTACTATAGCACACCATGCATTTTGAAGTCAGGCAGTGTGATGCCTCCAACTGTGTTCTTTTTGCTTAGGAATGCTTTGTCCATTTGGGATCATTTTTGGTTTGACACAAATTTGGAGATCATTTTTCCAGTTATGGGAAAAAATGACAATGGAATTTTCATATGGATTGCATTGAATCTTTAAATTGGCTTGAATAGTGTGGTCATTTTAATAATATTAATTCTTCAGCTCCATGAACATGGGACAGCTTTTCATCTTTTTGTGTCCTCTAAAATCTCATTCATTAGTGTTTTTTAGTTCTTCTCGTGGAGGCCTTTCACCTCCTGATTACATTTATTACAGAGTATTTCAGGTTTATTTCAGCTTTTGTAATGGGATTGCCTTCCTGCTTTCTTTTCTGGCTAATTTATTGTTGGTGTCTGGAAACACTACTGATTTTTGCATGTTGGTTTTGTATCCTACAACTTCACTTGATGCATTTATCAGATCTAAGAGATTTTTATGGAGTGTTTAGGTTTTTCTAGAAACATGATCTTATTGTTAGTAAGAGCAACAATTTGACTTCTTTTTCTTTTCTTTTTTTTTTGGAAAAATTACTGAAGTCATTTTATTTTTTAAATTCCTTCTTAGAAAAATTAGAATTTACAGCCTCTCTCTCTTTGTCTATGTTGTCAATATGATCCCCCACTGTGTAGTTCTACTTCTAAAGTGTGGTTTTTATGTATTGGTATATATATATAGTTTTGTTTTTCTTTTCCTAAGAGAACCTGAGGGTCATTTTGCCCTTCTTGAAGAATAAAATGTCTTTTTTTTTTTTTTTTTGCATGTTTTGATATTTGAGGACTTACATGTTTATGGGCATGTTCTGGTTAACTATACATGGGCTGGATACATGGCAGAAAAAGTGAACGTGGGTTTTATTCTTTATTGTTTCAAGTAAGAGCTTCTTTATGATTGCTTAGAAAATCTTAATAAAGTTCAGTACTCACCATTTAACTGTTAGGATTTTTGGCTATTATCAGATATATCTATAGAGAAATGACAATATTACTTTGAACCTCATTTTAATAAATTAAAATCAACTTGCAGTTTGTTGACATTGACAATTGGACAGATTATTTGTTATTTATTATTATTTTTTTTTTGCAGAAGTGATGATGTAAACAAACACAAATAGATGCTCCTCAAGTTTAACTTGTTTGCATTGTACCCTGTAATTTACTGTATGCTATTGTCATTGTATAATGCTAGATATTGGTGTTGCTCGCTTTATCTGTGGTATCTGAATAACTTTAGCTATGCTATGTTAGGGTCAAATCTGTCTGTTACACATGATGGAAATTTGATTTGTATCCTTTGTTTGTTATTTCTCTTCCAAAAGAATTTTAGGTGGTACCTGTAGCTCAGTCAGTAGGGTGCTGGCCACATGCACTGAGGGTGGCAGGTTCAAACTCAGCCAGGGCCAGCTAAAAAACAATGACAACTGCAACAAAAAAGTAGCCAGGAGTTGTGGCAAGCACCTGTAGTCCCAGCTACTAGGCTGATACAAGAGAATTGCTTAAGCCCAAGAGTTTGAGCTTGCCATGAGCTGTGACACCCCTGCACTCTACCCAGGATGACAGCTTGAGACTCTGTTTCCCCCCCCAAAAATACCAAATAAACAAAGAAAAGACAAAAAGTATTTTATTTTAAGTTTTTTTTTTTTCTTAGAAGAATCCAGCCAGATGATTTTATTCTGGATCCTGTGTAATAGGTGATGCCTGGATAATGAAAGTTGCTGACTATTGCAGATCTTTTTTTTTAAGCTACAGATTGATGTGAGGGTACCTACAATTAGGCCTCATTGCTTGCATTTGTAAGGTAAAGTCTGAGGTGTAGTTGTGTCCTTCACCCAGGAGGTGTGACATGTACATTGTACCCATTGGGTTGGAACCCACCAAGCTCCTTCCATCCCAAATTTAGTCAAGTTTTTCTCTCATGTGGGCCTGTACTTGTTAATCTACTAGTTTCAACTTAGTATTGAGTACATGGGATGCTTGATTTTATATTCTGTGGTACTTTACTTAGAAGAATGTTCTCCAAATCCATCCAGGTAAACACAAAAGATGTAGAGTCTCCATCTTTTTATGGCTGAATAGTACTCCATAGTATACATACACACAGTTTATTAATCCATTCATGGGTTGATGGGCACTTGAGTTGTTTTCACATCTGTGTAATTGTGAATTGAGCTGACATACAAGTGCAAATGTCCTTCTGGTAAAACACCTCTTTTTCTTCTGGGCAGATACCTAGTAATGGGACTGCAGGATCAAATGGAAGGTCTACTTTTAGTTCTTTGAGGAGTCTCCATGCTTCTTTCCATAAAAGCTGTACTAGTTTCAATTCTACTAAAATAAGAACAAATCTGGAGGTATCAGATTCCAGATACCAGACTTCAGGTTATACCACAAGTATATAGTAATGAAAACAGCATGGTATTGGCATAAAAGTACAGGCATAGTTCTGTGGAGCAGAATAGAAAACCTAGAGATAAAATTAGCCTCATATCAACATCTGATCTTTGATAAAGCAAACAAAAGTGTGCACTGGGGGAAATAATCCATATTTAATAAATGGTGCTGGGAGAACTGGATAACCATATGGAAAAGGCTGAAACTGAACCTGCACCTTTCACCACTTAGAAAAATTGACTCATGATGCATAAAAGATTTAAATCTAAGGGCCTGGCGCCTGTGGCTTAGTGGCTAGGGTGCCGACCACATGCACCAAGGCTGGTGGGTTTGAACCTGGCCCTGGACTGCCAAATAATGACAACTACAACAACAACAAAAAAGTAGCTGGGCGTGTGGTGAGTGCCTGTAGTCCTAGCTGCTTGGGAGGCTGAGGCAAGAGAATCTCTTAAACTTAAGAGTTTGCTGTGAGCTGTGACACCCTAGCACTCTACCAAGGGTGACATAGTGAGACTCTATCTCAAAAAAAAAAAAAAGAGAGATTTAAATCTAGGATATGATACTATAAAAACTTTTGAAGAAAGTGTGGGAAAAACTGTGAATCTCATTGGCCTAGAAAAAATATTATGACGAAAATCTCACTGGAAATGGCAGCAATAACAAAAATAAATTGAATCTAATTGAGTTGAAAAGCTTCTGCACAACTAAGGACATGAATCAACAAGGCAAGAATGAAAAAGCAGGACAACCTTCGGAATGGGAGAAGATATATGGATGTTATGAATCTGACAAAGGGCTAATAACCAGAATCTTCAGAGAATTCAAACTTATCAACAAAAAGAGCAAACAATATCATTTATCAGTGAGCAAGAGGCATGAACAAGACCTTCTTTCAAGAAGACAGATGATTGATCAACAAACGTGAAAAAATGCTGATCATCCCTGATCATCAGAGAAAAAAATGCAAATCAAAACCACCTTGAGATATCACCTAACTCCAGTGACAATAGCCACTATCACAAAGTCCCAAAGCTGAGATGCTGGTGCAGATGTGGAGAGAAGGGAACACTTTTACACTGTGGTGGGACTGCAAACTAATACAGCCTTTTTCAAAAGAAGTATGGAGAACTGTCAAACACCTAAAAGTAGACCTTCCATTTGACCCTGTAGTCCCACTACTTGGTATTTACATAGAGAAAAAAAATTGTTTTGTCATAAGGACATTTATACTCAATTTGAAGCTCAATTCACAATCAAGAAGACATGGAATTAAGCCAAGAATGGATTAATAAACTGTGGAATATGCGTACCATGGGATATTATTTAGCCTTAAAAAAATGGAGGCTTTACATCTTTTGTATTTACCCGTAAGAAGTTGAAAAAAATCTCCTTAATATAATATCTCAAGAATGAAAAAACAAGTATCTAATGTACTCAATACTAATATGAAAACTGTGTTTCCCCGAAAATAAGACCTATCCAAAAAATAAGCCCTAGCAGAATTTCTAGGCATTTGTTAAATATAAGCCCTACCCCAATAATGAGACCTAGTGATGGGCGTGGCTATGCAGATATGCTGCATAGTCACACCATGCATTTTGGCACAGAGTGGTAAGGAAGACTGGAATACCTTTTATCTGCCACAGCTCCTTTCTCCAAGCTGTTTGCACTTGCGTGGGTGTGTGTGTGGTAACCGCAGTTGCAGGCATCCTATTGCACATGTGCAAATGGCTAAGGGAAAGGAGTTCACGCATCACTAGCACCAGTCCCACCAACAAGGTTGGCTCCTCCTGTCAGGTTCCAGAAGAAGATGACTTAACTATATTTGAATAAATGTAGATTGTTGTGTTATACTTAATAAAAATAAGATATCTCCTGAAAATAAGCCCTAGAGTGTCTTCTTGAGAAAAAGTAAATATAAGACAGTGTCTTATTTTTGCAGAAACATGGTAGTAGATTAACAACTACAGGCCCATATGAGAGAAAAATGCAATTAAATTCAAGAAGGGCAGGGAAGTGGGGAGGGGTTTGGGAAGCTCTCACCTAAAGGATTCAAAGTAAGAGTTTAGGGTATACCTCCTGGGTGAAGAATTCAACTATAACCCAAACTTTACATAACAAACACAAACAATGTAAACCAATCATATGCATCCTCATATTAATCTGAAATAAAATTTTAAAAATGTTTAACTAACAAAAGAAATTACAAACGTCATTTCAAATTTAGTTACTATTCATATTAGTTAATGTTGAGCAAGAGAAAATTCACAAGGAAATTAATGTAATACAGTGGAAAAAGCTTGGGCTTCTGAGTTAGATCATTTTGGATTCAAATTGAAGTTCTTCCACTGATTGGCATGTGATCTCAGGCAGCTTACTTAATTTCTCTGAGTTTCAGTTTAATTATTGCTAAACTGGAGAATATTAAGCCAAACTCTATGGGTTTTGTGGAAGAATTACGTTACTCAGTGAGGTGACATGTTGGGGCTTCACAGAGTGTAAAGCACTTGAATGCGCGCTCAGCAATGCCTGGCTGGTGTGACCTTTAGGAAGACACAGGTGTCTGTTATTTGCAGGAGATAAACAATTAGAATTTATCTTTTTATATGTGCATTTCCTGAATTCTGCCCTGTGCTAGACTAGGCACTTTAGATTCACTTTCTTAATAATCTTCATAGTAGAAGTATTATTAGGAGCATTTGCAAATATGTAAATTAAGAGCTGTAGCCAGCTTGAAAGGGCCGTACTTGGGATGGGAACACAAAGGTCTGACTCTACTGTCTGTGCTTCTTATTAGTAATGGACTTTTTTCCCCTTCTTGTGGAGTTATGCCATGTTAATAAGGAGGTAAGTTATTTTGTCAGATGTATCAGGCAAGTTAAGAGAATTGTTCCCCAGAGAGATGGAGCCTTCAACCTCAGGGCACTGAGCAGGCATTGGAATGCCTCTAATAACTGGATACCGAGCAGGTGGAGAGAGTCACGTCTGAGTTTGAACACACTGAAGACTTTAAAAATCTTCTTTCATTGCATTTTTAAATTAGAGAAATAGCAACTTCCTCTGTAACGAATTGAATCGTGAATTACTTGTCTCTTCCTCTCCCCTAGGGTGACTCTGGAGGACCACTGGTCAGTGCTGATGCTAGAGATATCTGGTACCTCGCTGGGATAGTGAGCTGGGGAGAGGGCTGCGCCCTGCCCAATAAGCCCGGCGTTTACACTAGAGTTACTGCCTTCCGTGACTGGATCACCGCCAGAACTGGTATCTGAGGAAACGGAACATGTTGTTTGTGCACAGGCTATTTTCAGAGACACGGAATTGCAGAAGCCTTGCAAATCCGCCAGCTCTGACTGGTCTCGGCGCACGCTTGATGTCTGTATGCCCCTCCGTACGCGCCTTGCTCTACCAGGTCCTCACCCGCATTCACTAGTTTTCTAGATTTCTGTTACCAAAATTTTGATTTGTTGATGCAAATTTGAAGCAACCTTTTTGATTTCCTTCAACTTCTCTCATCTTTGTAGCTTTTTACTTTCAAGGTACAGGACAAGGAGTAAAAGAAAATGAGATGAAAAACACCTACTTTTTGGCTTAGAAAAGTATTGTGTTTTTTTTTCTTAGCGCAGCGTGGAAAATTATATTTATTATGATAGGTCAAGCAGACAGACAGCAGAATATCAATTGCTTCATGATGGAGAAAGAATGGAAATCAAGTTAAGGAAATTCAGAGAGAAACCTGATTTAAATTTATTTTTATTTCCAGTCAAATGATTACTGAGATAAATAGAAGGAAGATTCTGGTTTCTGTGACCTACAATAATTATACAAACTCCATGTAATGTGCTTGTTATAAACAAGTTAAAGCAAACAATATTTACTTAAATTGCACTGCCGATGATGTCAATATACAATAATAAAGATAAATAAATCATCCATTTGCTTGAAGTTATGATAATCTATGAAGAAAGGGAAGAAGGGGAAAATGTTATTAATTTATTATTACAAATTCTTTTGAAATGTGAGGCTAGAATGAAAATTATTTTAACAATGATCAGCATGCCTTATGTAGCAAAATCGTGCAGTTGAATGGGAGGGGATGAAGAGAGAACGACCCGCAGCTAAGGCTTTCTGAGCTGCAAGGGCGGGAGGGGCGCGTACAGGCGGGAGTGAGCAGCGGGATGCAGCTGGAGCCTGCGCAGAGGGCCGTGAGCAGCGGCAGGTGCACCCTGCAGGCGGCTGTGCGGTGGTCCCCTGTGCTCCCGGTGCCTGTGGCCTACTAGTCCAGGCTGAAGTGGGAAAGTGTCCTGGCAGTGCCCCCCTGCCCAAGCTGGCTTCATGCTGCATTGCTGACCACCTGGATGCGGGATTAAAAAGGAAAATCACCATACGGCCATCTTTACAGTTTTGGCTTTAGAAAATTATTACCGAGCTGTTAGAGACACAGCCCTTGGGTGACCTGCCACAGTGACGTCAGCACCAGAGCCGAGATATGCGGTGCTGGTGCTGAGCTCCCACGGAGGCGTCGCCACTCCTCCCTGTGTGCAGCTGCATGCCCAAGCTCCGTGTCTCTACAGCCACCACTTGAAAACCAGCATTAGCAGGACGGACTTCACTTTGACACGAATGACATCAACGTCGAAGCTGATAAAATGTAGGCCATTAGCTAAAATAAGATACAAGAACTGATGTGAATTGTCAGCATTAAATGTTTTGCATAAACTGTCTTGTTCCATTTAATAAAACCTTCGAGAAAACAATATTGAGAAAAAGGTTACATTTTTAAATAAAGATATGGACACATTTCAAACTGAAGTGTTCTGAGTGTTCTGTACAAAGTTGGTGTCCCTGGGTGCCATGTTTTCCCTGCAGGGAGGCCAGCCAGGGCTCCGGAAGTCAGAGTGTTTGAACCACAGTTAAAAACTGGGCTGTAAACTCTGTATTAGGATCTGCAAAGCCAAAAGAATACAATTCACTTTTGAGAAAAGGCATTTAAAAATTAATTCCTGCTGACTTTACAAAGGATTTGGCAAATAGAGATTTAGATCACAGTAAATTATACGCACAATAGTTTAAACTTACGTATGTATTTTTATTTTATATTGTTGAGGATTCATTGAGGGTACAAGGAACCAGGTTACATTGATTGCATTTGGTAGATAAAGACCCTCTTATAATTATGTCTAGCCTCTAAAAGGTGTGCCACATACCTTGGCCCCCACCCCCCCTTCCTTCTCTCTCTCTGTTCTCCACTTCTAGATCATTAGTTGTCCTCATATCAGAATTGAGTCCCTAGGAGTCTTGCTTCTCCATTTTTGTGATGCTTTACTAATGATACCATAGTTTCAGGTTTCTGGTCTTGGCAATTCAAAGAATGCATCAATGGACCATAGGATCAGTGGTATGTCAGGATTTATTCACAGAAACAAAAATCACAACAAGTACAAAAAACCAAACCTCCTGGCAGAGAGAACCCAGGAGGGAAACAAGCTCTCCTGGTCCCTCTTCAAGGTCTGTCCCTGGGTTCTCTGCTCAGGGGTTTATATAGTCCCAGGGCCTTGTTTTGGGGAACTCAATGTTGACTTTAGGGTGTGGGTCTTCTTCAGTTACAGCCAGTCCTCCAATCAGCAGCAAGGTGCAAGAACTCTCAGGCCCTGGAAACTCACATGAGGAGACAGCAAGGTGCCGTCCATGAAATTAACCAGCCAGAAGTGCATGGTGAGGAGGCAGTAAGGTGCCAGTTTCTCCCCCAGGTGTCAGGCCTTTCCAGCAAGCTGGTTCCTGGATCCCGCAGCATCAACACTTCTAGGGCTAAGGTGGCAGGTGATGGTGTCCCCTTGTCCTGCATCACTAAGAATAATGTGTTCCACTTCCATCCAGGTCAATACAAAAGATGTAAAGTCTCCAATTTTTTTAGTGGCTGAATAGTAATATATATATGTATATCAACTGTGTGTGTGTGTATATATATATACATCACAGCTTATTAGTCCATTCCTGGGTTGGTGGGTATTTAGGCTGTTTCTGCTTTTTGGGGGATTATAAATTGAGCTGTGATAAACAGTGTAGTATAAGTGTCCTTATGGTAAAAGGATTTTTTTTTCTTCTGGGTAGATGCCCAGTGATGGGATTGCAGGATCATATGGGAGGTCTAGTTTGAGTTCTTTGAGGGCTCTGCACTTCCTTCCAAAAAGGTTGTATTAGTTTCCAGTCCCACCAGCAGTGTAAAAGTGTTCCTTTCTCTCCACATTGATGCCAGCATCGGCAGTTTTGAGATTTTGTGATGTGGGCCATTCTCTGTGGGTTTAGATGTTATCTCAGGGTGGTTTTGATTTGTATTTCTCTAATTAGGGATGATGAACTTTCTAAATGTTTGTTAGCCATTCATCTGTCTTTTTTAGAGAAGGTTCAATTCATCTCTCTTGCCCAGTGAACTAAGGGATTTTTGGCTTTTTTTATGTTGATCAATTTGAGTTCTCTCTAGATCCTAGTTATAAAGCTTTTGTCTGATTCAAAATATGCAAATATCCTTTCCCATTGTGTAAGTTGTCTATTTGCTTTGGTTGTCACCTTAGCTGTATAGAAGCTTTTCAGTTTAAGTCTCATTTGTTTATTTTTTTTGTTGTTGCTTATTGCCACGGAAGTCTTCCTCATAAATTATTCCCAAGCTGATAGCTTCAAGTGTTTTCCCCATGCTTTCTTTAAGGATTTTTATTGTTTCATGCCTTAGATTTAGGTCTTTTATCCATCTTGAATCAATTTTTGTGAGTGGAGGAAGCTGTGGGTACAGTTTCAGTCTTACATGTGGATATCCAGTTCTCCCAGCACCATTTATTGAATAGGGATTCTTCCCCCCAGTGTATGTTCTTGTTTGGTTTATCAAAGATTAGGTGGCTGTTTCATCTCCTGGTTTTCTGTTCAGTTCTGGATATCTAGGTTTCTATTTTTGTGCCAATACTATGCTGTTTTGATCACTGTGGCCTTGTAGTACAGCCTAAGTCTGGTAGGCTGAAGCTCCCAGCTTTGTTTTTATTACTAAGAATTGCCTTGGCTACATGGGTTTTTTTTTTGCTTCCATACAAAATGAAGAATTATTTTTTCCAAGTCTTTTTTTTTTTGAGACAGAACCTCAAGCTGTCTGCCTGAATAGAGTGCTCTGGCATCACAGGTCACAGCAACCTTCAACTCCTGGGCTCAAGCGAGTCTCCTGCCTCCACCTCCCAAGTAGCTGGGACCACAGGTGCCTGCCACAACGCCCGGCTATTTTTTGGTTGCAGCCATCACTGTTGTTTGGTGGGCCCCAGGCTGGATTCGAACCTGCCACCTTAGGTGTATGTGGCTGGCGCCTTAGCCACTTGAGCCACAGGCACTGAGCCTTTTTCCGAGTCTTGAATGTATGATGTTGGTATTTTAATGGGGATTGCATTGGATTTTTAGATTGCTTTGGGAAGTATAAGACATTTTTAAAATGTTGATTTTTCCCAGCCATGAGCATGGTAAGTTTTTCTATTTGTTAATATCTTCTGCTATTTCTTTTCTTAGGGTTTCATAGTTTCTTTATAGAGGTCATTCACCTCTTTTGTTAGGTATACTCCTAAGTATTTCATTTTCCTTGTAGCTACTGAGAAGGGAATTGTGTCCTTGATTATACTCTTATCTTGGCTGTTACTGGCATGTGCAAAGGCTACTGATTTGTGGACGTTGGTTTTATATCTTTAGATGTTACTATAAAACAGTAACTTCTTCTGAAAAATAAGCATGTTTGTGGTAACCATTTCCTCAGAGAGGTTCAGAAGATATGACTCATTGTGTGGGAGACAGGCAGCTCTTTTATGCTTCTTCCCATGGCCTTCTGTAAAGAGCTCTGTGAATAAATCTCCTAGTAAATGTTGTTGAATGACTCTTTTATTTTTACATTATACAGAAAACACAGGTTTTTTTTATTATTTATTAATTGATTTCAAAAAGTAATCTCAGATTTACATTACCTGTGGGTTATAGCAGAAAGCCTCAGTTTACTCACCTGCACAATACAGATAACATTTACTCATGTGGCTGTTGTTGGGTAGAAGCTGAGAGTTAAGAGTGCTTAGCGTGACTCCCAAGCACAGTAGATGCTCCCAACAAGGCAGCTTTTATAACTGTTACTGCAATGAGCCTATCATCTTGTTTTGAAAAATATGGTACTTAATCTTAAATTTAATAATTTGTTTTAAGATGACTTGGAAATTAGACCAACAAAATGTGATGGTTTCTTGTCTAATTCTGATTCTAC